CTATAATCAGGCCACTTTTTGAAAAGGAGAAATTTGGTTTCGTCTCGCTACACTTTCTTGCCGTGTGAAAAAAGTGAAATTCCTACAAAAGAAAGCAATAAAGTTTATCTCTAATAGATATGACCACCACCTTTATCTTTCGTGGCATGCATCAACTGATCACTTGACACACTTGGGCATAGAGATACATGTGAACGCATTATCATTGTCAATGAGGTCATGCGGATGTCTTCGCTTATTGTGTTATAATATCTATATCTGGTATGTTCTGCTCACATAACACTCACCTGTTAAGCTTGCAACGGTCTGACTAAGTTTAAGTAATCTTCAAATTACCTTTTTTTTATCAGCAGTGGATCTCTGGAAAGGCTTTGACGGCGCACTTTAGCAATTACATTTAGAACAAATTGTTAAAATAAGTGATTTTCACACTGTTCTATACTGTTGAACGTGCTAGAGCATTCATGAAAGAGCACCAAAGGCAAACCTACGCACCCACAAAAATAAAGCTTCGCGGGATCAAATTCAGGCTCTGGCGGCTGCTTTTCCGATGGAGGCGGAAATGTTGTAGCCCCGTGTGCTCTGATTTGGGTGCACGTTAGAGAACCCTAGGTGGTCAAAATTTCTGGAGCCCTCCTCTATGGCGTCTCTCATAATCATATGGTGGTCTTGGGATGTTAAACCTCACATATCATAATCAAAATTAACGCAAACACGATTGCTCGTGATCGCGTCATCTTGATAACTGCGTGACTGTGTCTTTTGTGCGCCGCTTTATTATTATCGTATTTGCCCAACTAGTCTATCAGTATGTATTATCAGCTCTTGTATAGCCACTCTTTTTATAACCTGAATGAGTGACCGCAAACGCCCAGTCAATAAGCGCCATTGCCATTATACAATGCTCGGGGCCTCCGCAGTCGTGGCCGAGCGATAAACGTAATGTTCTTGAAGAAGAACAACGCGTGGGTGTGAAAAGAGCGAGAATACGTGCATGCGTACGATGAACAGACCTGTGCAGCTGTCTTCTGCCACACTGTTTTGAGAATTCCGCACCAGGACGCCAGGTACAGCCGCTTACTGACTCGGTGGTCGGGGCTCGCGTGTTCAGGTTAAAACACGGAGGAAGAAAAAAGGTAAGGAGAGGGCATTCCCAGCCGGTGCAGGGCGTAAAAAATGTGGCGTAAGTGACATCATGGCGGCCATATTCACTAGGCACAATGGCGGCGTTGCTATGGTTACGTGTTGCGCAGTGGGGTTGGTCTAGCAGTGAGCGGCCGCGGCTGGCGGCGGAATGTGCGCCTCCCCAGGTCTCGTGCTGAGCCGTGGCGGACAATATCTGTGCTCTGCGCCGCGTTATTGGTTACGCAGTGTTCTCCTGGCTGTTACATTACCCTTAGCAACGTTTACAAATCCCTTTGTCCATAACGGGGTTTCCACAGTGCATAGAACAAGTGCATATCCATGTGTCGTGCGGTGGATGACGCGGATGAAGCAGTTAGTGTTCAGCGAAATGGCATTGGGCACCATGATGAAGCTGAATGACGACGTATGCCTTGCAGGTCAGTGACGGTTGAGCAGTGCTCCTGCTTGTGACAACGGACGACGCTGTTGAGCCCAACAAGACGCCCTGAGGACCATGTGCACATACGTAGTTTCGTAATGTGTGTGTACAGTAACAACTTGCATGTGCGTATTAAAACACCTTTTCTGTTCCGCTTGGTACACTCTCCACCAGCATTGCATGTAATCTCAACGTAACAGCAACCACGTTCAACTGTCACTAGCACCGTGCTCAATGTCCCCACGGTCACAGAATGCTGACGCAGGTGAGTTTCATGCGGAACGCGGACACAGTGGCCGGACGCTGCGTCAGTCGCGTGGCGGAATGCAACCGTAGAAATCGCACGACCAATCGTGTTGTCTGTACAGTTGCTGAATTATTGAGGTGAAAGCACTCGCCGTTGTCAGTGCGCCTAGTGCGCGTTCTCTCACAGTTGCTTCGTTGTCGGCGAGCTGTTACTCCCTGTTATTGCTCGGACGAATTGATTTCGCTGAAAGTGTCCTGCTGGTTCAGAGTGATGAGCCCCGTTCCATTAGATTCGGATCGTCACGACATACGCGCTGCGCAGCCCACGTGCTTTCCAAGCCGGAGAGGGAGTCGCGCCTTCTGCTTCGCATTCATATGTAAACAAGAGAGGAGAATTTGCCTAGTCAATATGGCCGACTTCCGGCTTCATCGCGGCTTCGCAACGAGTGCCGTCAAGGCCTCTCCTTACCTTTCATTTCTCCGTGGGTTAAAATATGGGTGGCTGTATTCCTTGTATGTATGTTTACTTATTTACTAACTTGAACACGCATTTTAGGAGAGAAGCTGTTTCAGCTTGCCGTAGTTTGCACGGTATCACACAAAAAAAAGCCCCAGGTGGGCATGCGCAACAGCAATTGGGCAAGCCCCACTTTATGCTAGCAGGTGCGATTGTCAAACGAGAACAAGCTCCAGAAAAAAGAGAGAGAGAAAAAAACCTGATAGAATGACATAGAAAAAAGAGCATACAGTGGAATAAAGCGAATAAATACAAATAAAGGGAAACATAAACAAAACGAGAAAAAAAGTGGGAGAGAAGTGGACAGAAAGAAAGGGGGAAATCGCCACAAATAAAGGGAATCAAAAAGTGCAGGTCTGCGCGCAACGTGCAGCACAGTCACTGCGAGGGCTGCAAGAGCAGCCTTTCACAGCTTTCCTTAAACACTCTTTGGGTAATTGCTACAAGCACATTTGCAGGGTTCCAACTACGCCATAAAACGTCCTAATTTTTCTGTGGTACAGAAGCTTTCGCTATTCCATCCTTCGCTCTTTCTCGAAGAATCTTAGAACCCGCTAAATACTTGCAAGGAACTTTGTGATTTTTGTTGTGGCTGATGAAGATGAAGAACTATGCCTGATGCTTCTGTAATGAATTGCAGCATTCGATTACCCTGTCGTTAAGCATTTCGCCATGTGTGACGCCTGGTTGTCGCTTGGCCGTTCCAAAGCACTTTATTTTTTATATTAACGCAATTTCTTTCCTGACATCAAGCCGGCCAAAAGCCAGTTTGCAAAAGAGCTTCAAACATGGATTATACTGAGCTGGCACGCAGGATACTTGCTTCGGGATCCCATTGTACTTCAGCGTTTTTTATTTACTTATTTATTTAACTTCGCGCAATAACGGTGACGGACACCGGCAGTGGTACCCGCCACGGTGGTATAGTGGCTAAGGCACTGAACTGCTGACCCGCAGGTCACGGGATCGAATCCCTGTCATGGTGGCCGCATTTTCAAAAGAGGCGAAAATGCTTGAGGCCCGTGTGCTCATATTTGGGGGCGGGTTAAAGAACTCCAGGTGGTCAATATTTCCGGAGCCCTCCACTACCGCGTCTCTCATAATCATATCGTGATTTTGGGACGTTAAATCCCACATATGGATTAGTCCCACGAAATGGACCCGGGTTCTATTTGCAGCAACAAATGTAAAATCTAAGATGCAAAAAAGCTTATGACAGAGTTTATTTCGGTGGTGTGTGGCGTGATACCCTTACTGCAGTGCGCAACAGCAGGCCCAAGCACATCCAAAACGTTCTCACGCGCTAGCGCGGTCTGGCCTGTGTAAGCGGCTCAGTAAAATGCTTTAGCCACACCCGATTACACTCTCTCAACAATGATGTGATGGCTCAGAGAACGATATTCGGCAGACGCGCAATTAACCAACGCGTTGTATTGTAGCAGAACGTGCTGGCACGCGCTAGCGCGTTCTGGCCTGCTCAAGTGGCTGCGTAACAGGCTGTGGCCTCTCCCCCTTACACTCTCTCAGCAATCACGTGGTGGCGTTTGGAAATAAGAATATGCAGACGCACGAAGAACCCACGTGCTCCCACGTCCTGCAGAGATGAATCCACGTGACGTGCTCCAACAAGAGTTTGGGACGAGCAACAGCGACGGAAACTACAGTGAACCCCGGCTGCGGCGGCTGCGTTTCCGAGGGAGGCGGAAATGTTGTAGGCCCGTGTACTCAGATTTGGGTGCACGTTACAGAACCCCAGGTGGTCAAAATTTCCAGAGCCCTCCAGTACGGCGTCTCTCATAATCATATGGTGGTTTTGGGACGTTAAACCCCACAAATCAATCAAATCAATCAACTACAGTGAACCCATGTTATGATCCACTTGCAAGGATGCGTTAACATCAAGCAAAATGCGCGTGATTAAGGGAACTTAAGGTGAACACATGTCTCGTTCAGACGCTATTCATCATTAGTTTTAGTGGGAGATGGTGCATTTTCAATTTTCTTGAGTAAATTCTTCTGGCCACATTGTTTTCATTTGTTTTTCAAAACCACCTTCAGTTGTGCGTACTACTAAAAAAATAACTTGAAATGTGAAGTAAAATAGCACCACTTTGAAAGTGACCTTTATTATTTGTAGAGACGCCACACGGTACTCAGTGAAGAGGTATAAGGTATGGCCTCCGAGATTTCTCGTATTCGCAAAGATCCCGGAGCAATACTTTACGTTTTCGTTGAATGCCATTTGGTAACGCTACAAACAACTACGCTCAAAGCGAAAGTTACTCTATTTTACTTCCAATTTCAAGTAACTTTTTGTAGCAATACGAGCCAACTGAACTTAGCTTTAAGAAACAGAGATAAGCATTAGAACGACAACAGCTTACGCCAAAAATAATAAAAAAGTCAACACCTTCAGTTGTGATTTGAAGTTTGGACTTTCAAGTGGGAGCGAGCAATGTGCCTCTAAGTTACTTTGGTGGAGCCGCACACCACTAGTAAAATGACAACAGATTGCATACTACCGATTGCAGTGCCAAAGCGGGTAGACCTTGTTTGGGCTTCACTTTTAGTACATTGGTGTGGCGGCCGTTTCAAGCACTCCCATGGTTTTCGTGCACTTCAGCCAAAATTATTGTTTTGCTAGCTTTTTTAATTTTTTTTATCAGATCTTACCTCAGGAATCGTCTGAATATAGCAATCCCTGCGACCATGGCACGATTCTGCTTTTGCTTGGTAAGCGCGTAGTTCAGTAGATAGCCACTGCAAAAGAAGATCAAGACCCAATGGAGTATCCATTAACTTCTTTTTAAGAAAAAAAATCGCCTTGGTATATATATGTGGCCCACGCTGCAATTACAAAGGAAATAGTTTCCCGTATGAGTATACTGTGAAGCTTCATCTTACTTATAGCCTACTGTATTCTATGAAAAAGTTGGAACAGAAATCACCTTGCAGTGTTTACCCTGTGAATCATGAGGAAAAATAATGTGAAAGAGGGCCTTTTTGGCTTTAACAGATTGCAAAACAAAGCATGAAATTATCGAACACCAGCTGTCGAATAGCTCCTACTGCTATAGTTCACAGCAGGGTACAGAAAAGCGATAGAAAAACTGTATGATAAGTATGCAGAAAAGTTTCCAAGTCAATTCAATGTTGATGAGTACTAATTAGGGCAGCATTTACCTATGCATTAAATTGTGTAGTACTCAAATATATGAGTATTTAAAAACACATCACTAAAGTCCTGATTTACATTGTGGATATTATCTCTAACATCGAGAATGTTCGGAACTCATGTTTTTTCCTTAGCCCTTCCGAAACTAAACTCTTCCACTGCAATCTTGTTCAAATGCTCAAGGAATTAAAAAATACATGCAGCTTGCCTCATAAAGAAAAATGTGTCGACTGCCATGAAGGCTGCTGTTATAATCGGTGACTCCCAGCTTTCGAATATGTACAGAGCATTAACCAGCCTCGCTGAAAATAAAACGAACAAAAAGCAAGAGTAATTCAAGAAGGTGCATGTTTGAGCTAGTTGATCATCCACTCTTGCTTCTTTAGCCTAAACTAGAAAGAATAAATATGAAAGAACAAGATACGCAAAAGTGTTCATTTCTAAGTTAAATTTTATCGTGGAGACATAAATTAGCGCTTGCGTCACTCGTTAACGCTTGTGCGAGTCGTGTTCGTTCATCCGTAGCCTCTAGAGTTTGCGCTAAAAGAGCGTAAACATATTGTATCACAAATTCACAAAATTTCATTTTTTCATTTTAACATTGATTACTCAAAAGAAATGGTTAGAAAGTTTTTAACAAGAAAAAAGATATAAAGAGTCCTATTGTTTTCATTTGATTCGTCCTGTGCAAGACTACTGCTGGTTAATTCGTGGCATGGTTATGTCACAGCTGTAGATAAGTAACAAATAAACCTAGAATGAAATACAAAATCTAGAACTCCTGTTCTATGTAAAAGTTCTGAGAGCTAAAATAAATATTCAAGATATTTTGAAGTATTACTATTACGAAAATACCGCTGAAAAGCTTAGAGAAATGCTGTAGGAAGTTAGTTTCAATACATATTGTTCCTGCTAGCGCTAACTGTGCATAGAAGTGCACCAATGTGAACATGGAATATGGTGATAGTGCTTTACAGTCTGTTCTGGACTTGCCCACTTTACCCCTATATATCAGGAAGTTGGTCTCTTTTCTTGGGTAATTATGCATTGTAAGCGACTCAGCCATAAATACCATACTGCCCCAAATTTCCTCGCATCTGTGTCAGCTGGTTTTTCCTCTGTTATTCATATACCTCCGTGAAACTTTAAAGGAACTCTATTAAAATGAGGATTCAGCCCAAACCACAGAGTTCTAAGAGTACTTTTTGTACCGTTACGCCCAATGTGTAAGCACAAACTTTACAATAACTGGGACATAACCCACGTTAAAGTGGTAGTTGGCTTGTTAGTACGTTAGGGTGGGCGCGTCTGATTTAGAGGCGCATGTATTACAAAGCCAACCATATCCGGAGAAAGCCGAGGTGACACTCAAACAGGCATTGGAGAATTTATTTCGTGGAAAGGGCGAATACGTGGATTTCGAAGCTGATACTGGAGCTTATATGTCACGTTCACATCCACAGAGGCGTAAAGGCCATTCACATACGTAAATTCCCACAACGTAAGTTGGGATTGCCAGCTTTTATGTTTAGCATAACTTCATTTTCAGGACATTTTGCTTTTCATTGGTCTGCTGTTTTTGCTCTAGAAAATTTTTTAACTTCTCCAACCTTATGTTATCATCTCCGCTGTTGTGGCATTTGACGTGATTTTTGATACAAAAGGTGTACACTGAGCTACAACGTGGCTGGCGACATTCTAGAGTATCCCGTATATTTTCAAATTAGTCCAAGGCGAGAAATGACGTGACAATTTCAATGGAGAGCAGTTTTGGATACATCGATGGGACGCGAGCATGGTATTCCTGGCTGTCTTTGTGGAGTTCGTCAGCACTGTGTGGGACTGCACAGAGCTGTACAGTCGAAAACTTTCTTTTTGAACGACTCATACTTGCTGCCTGAGGGACATCCTCTGTATATTGTTCAGACAAACAAGAAAGTATGTATGCTCTTTCTACTTTCATAACACTGAGAAGTGAACCAGGGCTCTTCATAGAGTTAGTCAGTGTAGAATGTGCCTGGTACAAAAAACACTATTAATATGGTGTGCAAAAGTTTGTGGAATAAATACCATCAATATGTTAGGGATATAAGTTGTATTCAAATCTTTCTATAATGTGTTCCAGACACTGCCACGAAAGCATAAAAATTGAATGATTGTATGAGTGGGACTAAAGCAGGACTGACGAGTGAGCAGAACTATCTGCGGTAGTGGTTGGAATATGTTAAAATTTCAAGTGCTTCTGGAGGCTTTTAGAGATATTTAGAATGGTTAAAAGAGATGTTAGCAGAGCGACAATTAAAATCAGGGATGAATTCCTTTCACTAAAGTTTTTCAATCATCTCACATACAAAATTCAGATATGCGATAGCTCTGCAAATTTAACAGAATTGCTACATCAATGCTTATAAAGCTGTCTGAAATTTTTGTGTCTTAAGTGTTGAAGATCGAGCGAGTTCGTTAGCCTTACATGAAACAAACCAGGGCCTGACGGTAAAGAAGGAATGGCCGAGCCAACCAACACAAAAGGACGGAGTGGTCTCGCGTTAGTCAATATGGCAGTTTTTTTTTTTCTTTTAGCTATGCGCTTGCACAGTTCAAGTCGAAGATCTAACACGTGAGCCTGAGCAAGACACAGTACCTGCGACAAATTTTCTATGAAAGATCAAAAACACGGACTATTTATGTTGCAAGAGTGCTACTGAGTACAAAAATACAAATGAATTTGCAACTCAACAAAAAAAAAATCTCGCTGATATAATTCTTACATATGTTTTCATCGATTGCTTGATAAGAATGACCTAGACATATCCAGAATATGCTCAAGAAGCGGAGGCCGTGCACAAACTTGTAGCGCTGGGTCTCTGGACGGTTGTTGTTGACTTGCAGTATGATGCAGCTATTCTTCACGACCGAGAACGCAGTGATGCACTTGTAATAAATGTCTGGAAAAAGAAAAATTATAGAGCTTTAGAGGAAGTGTAGCTATCTACTAGCATTTGTTACATACGTTTAACAGATATTCCGGAACACAGACTGAGAAGGTTTCTGTGGATACATATTGGGAATGACATCACGAGGTATTAGATTTTTTATCTTGAGAATAATGTGTGAGTATATTATGCCGTGATTGCGAAGGAAGCAGATGATTTTGGGGGGAGATACTATGAAATGTATTCAACAGCATATGTAAGGCCCCTAACCATCAATCAGTGCACCAGTTAGTAATGCGAAATGTCAGAATACTTATGGTATCGAAGATGAAGTATGACCAGATGCCTAAGTGACTTCAAGAGGCGGCAATATGACGTATTCTTGTCATGGGAATGTGAAAAATGTGCCCGTACATTATACAGCATCTCTTATACACAGTATATCAAAATACGAAAACACTTGATGGTCAGACATAGGATGTGATTTCAACGTCCATTAGATGTGGGACGCACAACCATTCTGTAAAATACTTCTCTGATCAGGTTCGTAAACACAAGGTAGCCAGGCTTTGCAGGTGACTAATAAATTTGCTTGTCGACAAATGAGAATGTAGTGAAAGGGTGTCAACGCGTACTGTTCATCATGCCGGAAGAGGTCTTACTGAGACAAGATAAAACTAATAATAATGCCATTCCAGCCAAGCCTGTTTCTCTTATAATCACATATTTATTTATATGTGGGGTTTAACATCCCAAATATATGATATGATTATGAGACGTTGTAGTCGATGGTTCCGGAAATTTTGACCCCCTGAGAATAACCACATATGTATGTATGTATGTATGTATGTATGTATGTATGTATGCATGTATGTATGTATGTATGTATGTATGTATGTATGTATGTATGTATGTATGTATGTATGTATGTTGATTTGATTGATTTGTGGGGTTTATCGTCCCAAAACCACCATATGATTATGAGAGACGCCGTAGTGGAGGGCTCCGGGAATTTCGACCACCTGGGGTTTTTTAACGTGCACCCAAATCTGAGCACACGGGCCTACAACATTTCCGCCTCCATCGGAAATGCAGCCGCCGCAGCCGGGATTCAAGCCCGCGACCTGCCGGTCAGCAGCCGAGTACCCTAGCCACTAGACCACCGCGGCGGGGCTATGTATGTATGTATGTATGTATGTATGTATGTATATATGTATGTATGTATGCATGCATGCATGCATGCATGTATGTATGTATGTATGTATGTATGTATGTATGTATGTATGTATGTATGTATGTATGTATGTATGTATGTATGTATGTATGTATGTATGTATGTATATGTGCACCCGTGTAGTATGTAATCATGCCTCTCTTTGCATACTTCGAGGAGAATTCTGAGGGCGGGGATGCCGCGATGCATTCGTTACTCCACAACAAACTTATTGCGAGTTACACGAAGAGTAGGAGTGCGATAATCAAGGTTAACAGTGGAAGTGCCTCAGACTGGTTGGCCGACGTTTCGATAGGAGGACCTATCTTTTTGAAAGGCACCGTGTCATCCTTGGTGTGTTATGACGTCACCACTAACCCCTTTAAGACTAGCAAGCCAAGGATGATTCCGCACCTTTGAAAAAAATAGGTCCTCCAAAAAAATATCGGCCAGCCAGTCAGAGGCACTTCCACTGTTCACCCTGACTATCCCACTGCGTTGTTTCCATCTGTCTGCTTCCTTCTAGATTTAGGAAGAGAAGGAGGATCTCGAGAACGTAGGAGTATGACATAAATGACCGAATAACTGTACAAATTTCAATGTCGGGGCGTTTTCTAAGGTGAAAAAGCAGTCATGTAAAAGGACAGGTCGGTGGGGGGGGGGGGGGGGGGGAGGGAAAGGTGCCTTTTTTGTATACCCATTCAGTTCGCGGTAAGGCAGGCGTTAGCTTCGATGTTAGTTGCATTGTGATAGGCAACTAACAATGTGTTGGTGACAAAAATAAAAAAAAAACCTAAGAAGGCTCCCCTTTTGCTTCATTAAAGAAGAGTAACATCGCTCTATTTAAAGAAATATAGTGAAAAATTTATTGCTGCATTTTAGTCTGATCCATCCGATGTTTTTTCAAGTGCGTATTATGTGTGACAAATGATTTCTTTGCTATATGTACCTAGTTGGAGCTTGCCCGCCATGGTGGCCTAGTGGCTAAGATACTCGGCCGCTGACCCACAGGTCACGGGATCGAATCTCGGCTGCGGCAGCTGCTTTTTCGATGAAGGTGAGAATGCTGTAGACCCGCGTGCTGATATTTTGTTGCATGTTCAGGAACACCAGGTGGTGGCAATTTCCGGACCCCTTCACTACAGCGTATAATCCTATGATGGTTTTGGGACGTTAAACCCCACATATCAATAAATCAAGCTTCCCTGAAACCATTGGTCTTCCATTCACCACCTATTGCATTGATTTTATGTGTAACTTTACTTAGTAGAGTGTTTTAGTGAAATGTAATTTGAAGAAAAAAACGATATATTTTCATTACCATAAAGTTCACTGCAACAAAATATTGTCGAAACGATAGTTCACAATTTGCCCCAGTGGAGCAGTGTATATAGTTTCCAGCTTCTGTCCCGGACGTAGCGGGATCAATTCTGGCCACGGTGGTCACAATTCGCAGCAGACAAAATTCCAAAGCCAAATTTATTGTGTGATGTGAGAGAGGATTGAAGAGCTCTGGTTGTCGAAATTTCCCGAGCCTTTCAATACAGCGTCTTTCATAACCACATGGTTGTTTTGGGACGTAAGACCTGAGATGATATTTTTACTGAATTTTACTTTACATGACCCTTCTAAATTGTTATATTCCACGATCACACAGTAAAATGATTATTAGGATTTTACGTGCCGGAACAACAATATAAATATGAGGACGCCATAGCGGAGGGCTTCAGAACTGTCAATTTTGTGGTGTTCTCTAACATTTACCTGAATTTTAATAAATGGGCCTCTGCTAGTTTGCCATAATCAAAATGCAACCTACAGGGATGTGTTTGATACCGGGACTTTAGGTCTGTAGCCGAGTACCATAATCAGCGTAGCTATATAATGGCTCACTAGTGCATGTTGGCCTCGGAGTTTATTAACAACTTTTTATAACCGCTGATTGCACCTAATATTTATTGATAAAAATACTTTGTGAGAAAAATAAGGCATAAAAATAGATTTCATTGCGTAGGAACTCTTCGGCAAGTGACTCGGCAAATTTGCCTGTCCATCCATCGATACATAACACGTTTTGCTCCAAAAAGAAAACTTACAGGAATACGGGTGTTGTGTTCTTCCTTAGAAAATCCCGCTCAGAAACTTAGAGCCCCAGCCACTGCTCTAAACGACACCGTTACCGAGCGCACATATCATTGACCCGCTTGTGTCTCTAACGGTGATGTACACGTGACAAGAAAGTGTGTTCACGTGGTGGCGAGGATCGCACACTCTGGTGAGCAGGGTATTTAAAAGGGCGGACGAGCGCTCAAGTGCAGCAATGCTGTGCATACGGCTGTAACGTGGTGGCAGGAACAATAAATGGACGTTCAGCTTTCTTTTGAACTAGTTTGCGCATTATTGAACACATGTTTTGTTTGCGCGCACGAATGAGACTACAGGGACGAAAAAACACGGACGAAGGAGATTACACGAAAGAGAGTTGAAGTTGAGTACACGAAGGAGAGGCCGAAGGAGAGTTGAGGTTTTGTGCCCGTCATGTGTACCCTCCCTTCTTTCGTGTTTTCTCGCACAACCCAAATATGTGCTCATTAAATTTCAGTAAGATTGAACAACTGGATGCACAATAGTATACGCGCAAGTATTACGGGCCTTGCTTATCTCCATTTGTTCTTTCCGTAATTTTAAAAAGCCAAATAAACACAGCAAAAAAAATGGCCGCAGCTTCCCGAGAGGAAACACTGGTTAACATGCGGAGCATATATGTTGAACTGCGATAAATGTGGTTTCTAATTTGCGACATGCGTATGTGTTATGAGTGAACACGAGTGAACACACACGCACGTATGCTGCAAACACGATGTTTATTGATGAGACGCTTTGGCTATTTTGAGCAAGACGGCTTTACGGTCCGTAAAGTGAAAGGTGAGTGGGTCTGGTTGCAGTGGTCGAAGGTCGAAATTTGCAAAGACGTGGTCGATGCACGTCCCACGAACCGAGGTCAGATGATGTTTGCCGTCGTGCGCTGCTCGATTCAGCGAGTACGGCGACTCCATTTAGTCAACCTCCCAGTCGTCCTTGATGACGTCGACGTTGAAGTCAGTTTATTTAATACAGTTTATTCAGAATTGAAATACAAGTGATACAAGTGCATGTGTTATGTACAAGTGTACAAGTACAGAAGGAGGTCTCAAAGTCGCGAGACTGTGAGTGAGATCTCCTCTAAAATTATACATGAGAGATACAACGCAATAGTAAAGAGTGGTAAGGAAGTCGCCAACTATCACGAAGGGTCGTCGTTGCGGTCATTGTTTCAGGTATTCTTCCACGGCTTCGTCGACGTACTTCTCCACGGCGGCACGCGATAGGATGGGCGCGATGTACATCGTCATGACGTCGATTCCGCAGAATCGAGATCGGCCTCGCAGCGTAGACGCTTGCACGCGGCTTCACCGTCTGGATTCTCTTGCCGATGCTTACGCCTCGCAGCGGTTTCGCGTTCTCGAAGCTGGGAATCGTCCGCTGTACGTTGACTTATTGCAGCTGCTTCGCGTTGGGGATCCTCCGCTCGACGCTGACGTCTTCCACCTGCTTCACGTTCTCGGAGCTCGGGATCTTCCGCTCGACGCCGACGTTAGCGTACCGCAATGCGAGCTCTTGTCAGCGCGGCCTTGTTCATGGACGAAGTGTATTCGGAATTACTTGCGGTTCCGCCAACACATTGGCTGGCGCTATTAGAAGGGACGTCAGTAAGTGTGTTTGTGGATTCGTTAGCATACATTTTCACCAGCGACATCGGACGTGGAGTGACTGCACAAACCAGCCGACGAAGGGCGGCGCGCCCCGACATTCAGTTATTGATAGCGAGCGCCGGCCCCGGCCTGCGCATGCGCACGTTAGCATACAGCTGGCGCACGTAAAACTGAAGGCCGCGTGGCGCGCGGTGGGAAGAAGCAATCGCAGCGTCCGCTGTGTTGAGAGGAGGAAGGGATGCACAGATGGCTGGCGGAGGAGGAGGGGAGGCTGCGGACGGTGACGGCGCATGACCAGCCCGTAATATAAGATGCTCCACAAGTAAAAAAAAAACTAGCCCCATATAAGTAGACACATAAGAAAGTGGCACAATTGCCATGGAGCTCTTGATGACTCGTGTGGATAGAACCTCGCACATATTTCAGAGTGACTTCGATCTCAATAACTCTTTCTAAGCTGCCGATTTTGAGTAATTTCGATTTCGGTATACACTTTGATTTAGGGCAGATGGCAAATGAATCAGCCAAAATATTTTATGGAAAGCCTGTTATGGCGGAGGCTTGCCACGTGTCGTGCTTATACAATGTGTCATAGTTATCATCATAAACCACCCGCTCAGTCACGGCCAGAGCACTGCGTAAAGCTGGTACCGAGATAAGCTTAAATGTGTTACCCCTAATCGGTGCTTGCCACACGTGTATTCGCTTATTAAATTTTAATAGACCACAGTGGTGAGCAAAGGGATTTACCCAAGTTCTGTGGTACATGCGCTCTACAAGAATTTTACAGTAGAGATGTTATATCCGACAAGTGAAAAAAGATAGAAGGTGACAGATTGACTCTATAGAGAAAAAGACTGAAATAACAAAAAATGTGGCTGATCTTGCTTTTAAAGAATCAGTATAACACAAATGTGAAACATGTCTTCACAGAGGTACTTGAACGTCTTTTGTGCATTGTTTTGTCACAAGAGCAAGGACATCAATGCCATAGACTCAAATGGCAAAGTCATGCATCGAACGACAACCAGCTCGAAACATCGAGCGCACACCTCGAGCAGAAAGTACGCATGAAATGGGCATACACTAGACGTGCTTAGGCTAGCAGCTTTCAAAGATGGACACTTAAAGCGCACTATTCCCACAGAAAGACTGGTGAAACGAACGCGAAAGTAAAGACAAAGCAAGCGCGAGCAACTATCGCGATTCTTACTTCATCATGTCTGAGCAGAGGCCTCCTTTCGTAAACTTGGCCGCAGTAGCGAGCGAACCAACCTTCGGGCTCTCCTCAATCACGAGTCTGATAAGTACGTGCGCAGGAGAGGCCACGCTCCGTAGAGTCGGCACTCGCAAAACGCTGGAGGCGACGACCATGAGAGCGTGCCCATCGCGAGACCTTCGGGCCATCCGGGTAGTGATAAGAAAAGCGAGCAGAAGTTGCAGAGCTCTGAGGGCAACCAAACATTATATAGTGGTTATATATTGCTTGACCTTAGTCATTTTGATCACGTATTATGCTCCGTGGTCTAGCGGTTAGCGCCGTGCGGCCTGAATGGAGATGTCGCTGGTTCAACGCCCCACGACAGAACCTTTAATTGTTGTCTTTTTCGTTGCAATCTGTTAGTATACATATTACAACGTGATATTCGTGACGGAAGTACGCCAACGAAGACATGGTGGTCCGCGGCATAAAACACTTTCGTGTTAAGCAGAAAGCAATGAAAAAAAAATGTCGGAGAAAAAAGACGTAGAGAGAAAGCATTAAAAAGAGACTAAAAAAAGAAGGCAAAAGACAGCATGCATAGCCATGTGTAGTTCGGTATAGAAAGGGTTGGCAATAAAAAGTGGTCAGAGCGTGAAAGCTATAGTGCAAACTTCGTGCAAACTTATTCAAATGACCTGGACGCTCCTCTACTCTAATTAGTGGACAGAGCTAAAGTCCATTAAGACATTGGATGTTAGGTTGGAGAACAACGCATTCCAATTTTCGCAGTCCGGTTTTATTTTGCTTGAGTAATTCCAGAACACTAAACAGAATAAAAAGTATTTACCTACAATCTTCCTATTGTCTTACGTTTATTTCGTTGCAAAACACGGACGAAGTGATGGGTACTTTCGAATGAAGTGATAAAGTAGGGTGGCCAGTTTGGGCTGGGGGGATTATAGTGTTTCATGTCACAAACGACTAGGACTATTAGAAATGTCATAGTGGGCAGAATCCTGATAATTTTGACTCCCAGGGGATCTTTTGCGTAAAGCGATATCGCGCATTTCAAGGGTTTTTAGCATTTCAGGCCCATCGAAATGCGAACGCCGCCACTGGGATCGAGTCTGAGCCTTTCAGATCAGCAGCCGAGCGCCATAACCACTTGGCTACCGCGGTGGCTTTCACGGGTAGCTATTTGAAGTAGGTTGCCTTCTTCATATTATCTTTATTCAGTGTCCTCACTGCTTTAAAGATAGGTAATGAGCCTCCAGCTTCAGCAACAACTCAATTAAGGCATCAAGAGATTTCACTTTTTACTTACCATTTTTGTGTTTATCATCCCCGGTTTTGGTGAACAGCTCAAACATTGTTGCAACAGCAATAACAGCTGCGAGGATAGTCAAGAATGATCTGAAAGGGAATGCAGAGAGTTGTGTTTACATACTTAGTAGGGCATACAAGATAGCTATTTATTGAGGCCAACTTTGTCAGCCTTGAGATTGCAAAATGTTTGAAATTAATCCCCGAAGTTTAAAGTATAATAGAAACCACGTGTTCTTAGAACTTACATAATGCCGGCTTGAACGCTGTTTACGCCTTCAGTTTTATTTGTCACACAGTCCTTGACAGTGATTTTCAGCGCAGTTCCTGCCACTGCAATTGTTAAAATAAAAGGATTAATTTGGGTTGCATCAGGCATTTCATATTAGACAAACAATTTTCGCATCAATAAAGCAGTATGCAGTATTTTATTTAGGCAGTTGATGCACATGCTTTTGCAGTGATTATTTTGTCTATATGCATAAATTGTTGCCGCGCACGCATCACGGTCTATCAGAACTATTTGCTAGACGGTTTTTTCTTCAAATTCTCAGGTCATCCTGACGTGTCATGGTACTTTGGCGTAACACCCATGTAGCATGGTATTCTCAAAAGGCAACAAAATCTACCAGGGCTTCAAGTATTGTGGACGACGGTGTGTGGAGGTCTGTTGCTTAGCCTGGAGAGCTTAAAACAATTCATAGGACATATGATAATAAACAATGAATGAAAGCTCCAGTAAAAAGGATAGCAGAATGTGATGGTAGTGAGTGCGGGCCTATTGAGAACTGTATTTTTTGTACCACTTCATGTTGTCTTCGTTTAGGTCATCTCCACGAATGTCAATAATACCACAAGGTTATTGTAAGCATCTGTTGTTTATTGACTGAAAATCAACATACTTATGATTATGACAGGCGCCGTAGAAGAGGGCTCCAAAAATTTTGGCCACCTGGGCTTATTTAACGTGCACCTAAATTTAAATACAGGGTAAACGAAGCAAAAAAAGAACAAAAGACGTTTTGAACGAATGAATTCGAGTAAACTCTTTCGTGCTAATTACAAGGACCTCAAATATTTTCGCTTCCAACAAAATTGCAGCGGCCGAAGCCGAGATTTATTCCTGCAAATTTCGGGCGAGCTGTCGAGGACCTTAAACATTAGACCACCGCGACAGGGTGGCAACACTGTGTTAAAAAGGGGTAGAAATAAATAAACTACTATGACTACTATACGGTTGGTCATGTTGGTCACGTCGTTCAATTAATACATGTTCGATATCAAATATTGAACAGTAGTGGGTTATTATTCAAAATTTGCATTGTAATTTGGTAATTAGTTATGTCTGTATGGAAACTGCTGAATGACACAGAGGCAATGATTTCTTGACGGCATTACCAGTCCGATGACTGGAAAAGATGGTCTGTTCTATTGGCGAAGGTCGGATGTGGCTGACTAGGGAATTACATGATAAAAAATGGTGGGCGTAAAAATTTAGGAATAAATACACGTGACCACGTGTGCCTCGGCTTTTTAATGCCAATGCTTTTCTTAGTCGGGCTATGTCAGGCATCTGGCGTTGTCCGTGGCGGCGTCCGTGCTCAGGCAGCTGTTATCTCTCTGCTGTCACTCCCTCTCACCTAGCAACAGCTGCGGGAACACGCGCTTATTATAGCCCCTAGCAATCGGAGTATGTGGTGCGAGAGAGTGTAGGAGAGGGTAAGTGCCGTGCTTCACCACTCCTTCTCTCAACGTTCGCTATCTCTTTTCTCAGCGCCCCACTTTCCCACCCTCCGTTAAGGCTTCACTCTCGCTGGCTGGGTGCCTCTCAAGAACATGCGGAAATGTGTGCTTGAGACTCTGCTGTGAAACACCAACGCAGCGCCAAGAACGCTGTTGGTTTTTTCCCTTCATAGTACTTTTTAACCACGCAATGCACGCTAGGTACTAGAGTTTGAAACTTATACTGCGTTTCTCGTGACACAATAGACAGTTATAGTTTAATGTTAGCGTGATAGCGTAGGTTAAGGGAGTGACGTTACCGTGCAGCAAACGTTCGTTGTAAGCAGCGTCTTATAATTTAGCGAAATAACGCTTACGTAGTTTACGTGCCCCCCCCCCCCCCCCCAGTGGGCTGGTGGCGCCACCTATTATATGGTTAATAAGTTAAACAGTGAAAATGAAAATAAAACGAGAATGTTTGCCTATGCCACAGCACGAAGCATTGTTAGAAGTTTATTTTTGTGATAAACGTAAATAAATTCTAACCACGTACAAGACGCGAAAACATCTACGTTGCCGATTTGTTTACATTGATCTTGTAGTTAGGCCTAGGCGCATTCAAAATGAGGAGCTATCTCAAAAACTACGCCAACTTATCCGTAATACTCAGTCATCGAAGCTAACTGAAGGCAAGCGAAGCCACTTTGAACAGTCGTTTGCTGCGAACAAGGTGAATCTTTCAACAACTACGCCGAAATCACTTCGAAGCGGGCGTCCGAGAGCGCCGCCATGTTTACGTACATTACGTGCACCTACGCTACCTTAGATCTGAAATATACTGCGCGTACGGTAGGCGGTACACGTAACGTACGTATCTGCGCATGCGCACTTCAATTACGGTATCACGGTAAGATCGGTATACTATAACTCTCTAATAACGCCACGTGTGGCCAACGGCGCTATTTACTGCCCAGTGTAAGGCAAAACAACAATCTTTTTCCAATGCTCGGCTCTCACATGCGAAACGCCGTAATAGACGCTACGCAATGCATTCGCAATTCCTCACGATTCTCTTCGGAGAGTTGGGGAAGTTTTGTGATATGTTAAGTGACGTATAAAATGTTTCTTGTGTTCATTGCGTCAATGTACATGTTCTTACTCGTACTTTACTGAAATATACGCGCCGATGTGCCACTTGACGTCTTGCCGCTCAGCAAGTGAGCCATTGTCGTTTACAAGGAAGACGTACTGCCATTGCTACAACACAAGCTCGTGCTCATTCAAGACTGCAAAATTCCTTTTTGACAGCGTAACAGTACATGAAGATTCTCAGGTATATTAGGAGCGTGGTGACACCCGGCTAGCTTACTGAGGCTCTTGTGAAAACTCCTTTAGCCTACTAGTCGTAAAATCTAGGAGAACTTACCCTAATTCTTTTGTTAAATTACGTGTTGTGGAGCTGCACCTAATTATGCTGTCTTTTAAAGAAGATAGTCGTTCTTGGGGACCTTCGACGCAAAAACTTTTTCTGTCTGTCTCTACATTTGTCTGTTTCTCCGCCTTTACCGCGAACTGGGTACTCTAAACAGCGCCAGCAGATACCCCGAACGGCTGATCCCATCCGTAGCGACCACCAATGTTGCTCAAGAATCAGCGTTAATACGTGTGCGATTGTCAGTTAAAAATCAATTATTGCACATATCTGAGGCACCATAACAATACCTATATATTCTGAATGTTCGTCTTTTACTAGAAAAGGCATACATAAGTAATACTAAGGACCGTAGCACTTATCACGCTGCGCTGGCCATCCAACGCTTGCACGAAAAGCCGAGTGTTTCCAACGCTTCGCTAAAACGAGACGGTGGTGGCACCTACCCGTCGCCTTGAGTTCTACACTTTATCACCTCTGAGGCGGGCGCGTACACCCATCTCAGAGCCACGCGCTTTGTTGTTGAAAAAAAAAACTGCCAGATGGTGGTCATGTCTCACGTGTGACGTAACTTGATGCGCTCGTTCGCCTCCGCTGCACGCTCGAGGCACTCTAACGCAGCGCCTCCAGAATACCATTCACCAATTTTCTTGAGCAGAACATCAAGCAAATGTTTTGTTCACTCTCTCCACATGCAAGACTATGGTCTTTCGACGGCATTTGCAGATTAAATGCAGACACGGGCCAATTTTTTCCTTCTATTTCCCTTAGAAATTCACGTTTATGTTTGCTGCAGTAGGTAGCAACTGAAGCGTGTTTAAAGCAAAAAAAAGAAAGGCAATATAGGTATCAGAAGTGACAATAAAGATAAAGCCCCCAAACTGATGCAGTAGTTTATTCCCCAGGTCCTTTTAATTGGAAAAGTGGGCATTCCTATGCGTCACTTTGTTGAAGCATCGCGGGTCTATTCAATGACGACACATTGCAGGTTGTCCTTCGTAATGCCTCAAGTGTCCTGACACTTTTTTTCCTGACTTCACTTTCGAATCGTGTTCGAAGAAGTCTCTTTCTCAGAACACTTTAGTCGCACGAAAAGAAGAAAGGCAAGACTCTTTGGTTATCAATGTCTGTACCCAAGGTAAAAAATAAATCACTATTGAGTATTGAGAGAATATAACAACATATACGCTATAATTATGAGTCATGACCGAACATTGGACAACGTAATATATATATATATATATATATATATATATATATATATATATATATATATATATATATATATATATATACATATATATATATATATATATATATATATATATATATATATATAAATATATATGTTGTGAGATTTAGCAGGTGGCCCCGCCGCGGTGGTCTAGTGGCTAAGGTACTCGGCTGCTGACCCGCAGGTCGCGGGTTCAAATCCCGGCTGCGGCGGCTGCATTTCCGATGGAGGCGGAAATGTTTAGGCCCGTGTGCTCAGATTTGGGTGCACGTTAAAGAACCCCAGGTGGTCTAAATTTCCGGAGCCCTCCACTACGGCGTCTCTCATAATCATATAGTGGTTTTGGGACGTTAAACCCCACATATCAGAGGATTTAGCAGGTGGGATGTGTCGCGTCCAAGCTCAAGGACGTGGCTTAGATTCAAGGGCATGATTGTTACATTTCGATGGGCGCGAAATGGAACATGACAAGTGTATTTATACTCAGGTGAACATTAAATAAAAATGACCACCCAAAAACTCGTTAAAAATGGTTAACCAGCGAAAGCTTTAACTTCTAACCCCAGTGTTTAGCAGTGACTTCCACCTGACGTGACACTGAGGCCTTTCAAAATTATTTGTTATTTGTAGGTGCTTCTTAATGAGGTTAGGCGCACTATTGGCTTGGGTTTGCCACAGTTTTTATTTCACATGCCGCACGTGGGGCCTCACATGATAACGGTCAATACTGCATGAATGGTTAAATGCGTCTCGAAATGCTCTAAAGGGACACTAAGAGCAAAAAACTTGTTCGCATGTTAGTTTAGTACAAGTAGACGATTCCGAAAATATCCCTCTTACTGCGACACGACACTTGGTAAGCGAGAAAACGTGCAAAAAAAACCGTCGGTTGAGACGCCTCCTTCCCGCACAAAGGCCTGCAATGTCATGAAATTATAAAGGCGCCTGCAGACTGTGTTCTACGTATCATCTAATAGATAAAATTGAGTGCATTGTAATCTATCAATACCATAGACCAAGCATACGAAGTTTCAGTAAATTTAGACGAGCCAATGCTGTGAAATTACGAAAATACACTTTGGAATTTTTATGCCACGTGCGGAGATTACGGCGCGAAATTCAAAAATGAAGTTTCAACTATGATTATCTCCGCTAGCAGTGAACCTATGACAATAAAAATCTTGACATTAGAGTTCGGAGAGTGCAGTTATTCGACCTTTTTTTCTTTAGTGCCCCTTTATTAACTTTGGATATCCTCGAATCACAGGCTGTCACAGACGTCTCAGCCGAACCCAAGGTGCTGCTGGAGAAACTCCCACCGAATGCGAACGTCCGCTTCAGCGAACGCGCTACTGCAATCATCACATTGACGTCACAACGCCGCGTTGTTGCAAGCGTTAGACATCGCGAGCTATCTCGGTGGTAGTGCCCGCCACCGGCACTTGCAGAATGTGTCCGCCACCGGCTTAGCATTCTCACTTGCGATTTAGCGTCGCTTGGAAGGCTGCCGGATCATCGGTACGCAGTTGCTGCCTGCACGCGGACTTACGCGCCTGTTTTTGTGTCCGGGCTGCATCATAGGACCAGGGAATGTAAGGTCCCTCACGTTTTTTTTTTTTATTGGCGCTCTTCCAGAGTTGTCCGTGGCGTACACATGTGCAAGGTTGCGGCGGGATTGACGACGGCTGCGGCTGGATGGACGACTTCACTAACAACGCAGCCAATGGCACGCATGCTTGAGTAGGACGCTCCAATATATGTAACGCCCCGCCGTGGTGGTCTAGTGGCTAAGGTTCTCGGCTGCTGGCCTGCAGGTCGTGGAATCGTACCCCGGCTGCGGCGGCTACATTTCCGATGGTGGCGGAAATGTTGTAGGCCCATGTACTCTGATTTGGGTGCACGTTAAAGAACCCCATGTGGTCAAAACTTCCGGAGCCCTCCACTAAGGCGTCTCTCATAATCATATGGTGGTTTTAGGATATTAAACCCCACCTATCAATAAATAATCAACCAAATGATGTAACCAATACCACAGCCAACGGAGAGTGCTCGTGACACCGCATTCGGGTGGTTTTTCGTTTTTCCTTGCCCTATACAGTTTCCCATTAAAACCGGCCGATGAAAAGTCATCTCGAATCTATCATTACTGCAAGCCAAATAATTATATCATGATTTCGGCATTTAAAATTCCAATAGTTATTACTATAACTTCTGTGGCTGCAACTGTGTGGCAAGAAAATCGCTTGATGAAAATTTGAAGAATATATACTGCACTGACATAAAAATGATGTTTTTGAGATGAAACCAAGCGCGTTAAAATTAAAAACTTCCCGATTTTCTAGACCTTATAAGTAAGTGACAGTGATTTGCAATGTACTAGATTAGTACATAAGTACTACAAGGTGCATTTGACCAACGAGTAGGTGATGATTAGTGAACCATCTAATTAAGTAAGCATGTCCTTTTTCTGACCATTCTTCGTAATTGTGGGAAACATTGTGTACAAGAAGTCGTTAGGAACATACGCAGTCTCTATAAGAACACTGTATGGAAACGTGTTACTCACGAGTGCGACCGATGTTGGCTATGTCTTGCTCATTGCAAGCATCGATGAAGCATACACCGAGTCGAAGGCCAGGCAGGGCCTCGTCCAATACATAAGACGTGAAGTTTCTCACCTAAGCGAGATATGTAAGAAAAAATGATGCAAAAGATATCAAAAAACCCTCCAGGCCAGCGCGGAACGCGCAGCACTGTCACAGCGAAAGCTGGAAGGGCGGCCTTTCAGAGCCTTCTTCACCAGATTTTCGGTGGATGCTGCCAGTACACTTGCAGGGTACTCACCACGCCATTATTCAATGTGTAGTAGGTAGGCAAGAGAACACCTACCGCTTTAGAGAACGGAAAGTGTACCTTTGGACAGATCTATCAAAGTGAGGTAGCGGTGGCGTACTGAATGGTAATGCCGTGAGGCTAGAAGTGCTGCTAATACTATCATCATCATTAGACAGACACATCTGTTTGTTGCTAGTTTGGTGGCCTACGGCCCATTTGCGCTATGTGCTCCTTGTGGGATTTTGTTTTTTTCTCGTTGCTATATTGCGACTCATGTGTCTAATTACCGCCAAGTAAATAAACTCTCCTTGACTGGAAAAGAACGTCGGTCCAGTAAAGTTTTCATAGTTTGTTGCGAGTGCCAAAGTTGGTACAACCAATGTATACAGTCAGATCCGCACCAAACAAGTCACTTATACAAAGATTTCAAAAACCTTCAGTTTATGTGTAAATACTATTGAAAGCTAACAAACATATTCATATAACTCAACATTGATATCACTGAATGAACGTCGTTCTCATTGTGCGTCGGCGTTCGAGTATAATAGCATGGTTTCAGGGCAAGGGTCCGATCTTGCCATCAGCTACGCGGCGCTTGCCAAGTAGTATTGATTTGAAGTGAATGCATGATGTTTACTATGGAACGAAGCTTGCACATGCCGACAGATACCTCGCGCAGTGAGACCAATGTAGCTTTGCTACATTTGCTACGTAAACAATCGCGGATGCGATGTTTCTCGCACTGTGATATTGCCTTGAAAACTTTACAATTGGACACTGTCACGTTCAGTCAACAGAGTAGGCACGAGTTTTTATTCTCGACCATGAGCCCATATCAAAGGTACTATGCATTTTGGTGAGATCCATAAAAAGATATTCAAGGCTTGTTACGTTTCTCATTACAGTGATATAACACAGTTACTTCCTTTATAATTTCTCCTCGCAAGTAATGAACGGTCTGTTCAGTATGCAGCGAACGTGTACGCTAAAGAAACAGTGTTATTAGAGAAGTGCTTACAGATTTCAGAGGCACAATTTTGAAAACATAAGCCTTAGGCATGAATTGTACCTTTTCATTGTTTGTACATCTATGTTGGTGCTGAAACAACTGCTCAGCTCTGACCACAATATTTCTATTCACAAAGACATGTCGATAAACCTTGAGTACTTTTGCAACCAAGCCCTCTTGAAATGAATTGGTGGCGCATGATGTGAACCTGTAAGTATTGGATCAATAAAGGTCACATATATCACACGCATGTTATGGTCATCACCTTTTCAATATACGCCTGCTTGGAAGCTCCAGTTGTTTTGTCCCTGCTACTTCAGTTGTTTTGTCCCTAATACCTTGCAGCGTGGCTGTGGATCCACATCAAGTACGTTTTAGCTCCTGCGATTTAACTCCTTCGCAGATTTTTATAATGACAGGAGCGCACAGAATTTCTCTTCGCAGTGGTAGCCGTTAAAGTTATGACAAGTTAATTAAAAGAGAATAAGATGTGCTCAGAGAAATCTAGGACGTTTGTTTCCTATATGAAAAGAAAACACTACCACTTTCAAGGAACACAGCCTTGCTCATCACGACAATATTCACGTTTATTTATTTTTATTTTCAGATTTACTGCCAGCCTTTGAAAAAGGCCTTTGGCAGGAGCGGGCAGAACAAATAAAAGAATGCGAGAACATACGCAAATACGTCCACAAAACAACCGCAACAATGAGCGGGAACAAAATAAAAACAAAAAATATACAATTACGCAATCAACAAAGTGACAGCAGGTACTTTTAACAACTTGTTTGGTACCAAGCCAGACCTACACTGATAAGAACTATTAATAATATACAAGACATGACTGGAAAGAGCAGGAGAAATCTGAACCGAGGTGCACCGCTAAACAAAACAGAGCTACAATGTGACACACTCAACATCAACAACAAAAAAAAGAAAAAAAAACATCAGAACAACATTATTGTTTCGCAATCACATATCAGTTTGCAGAAGTCGCGATACTAGGAAAGCGGAGTGACGACCAAGATACCGAAAAAATTACAGATAATCTGACAATGCTTTAGCAAAAGAATTTAGTGTAGTACAATCAATTACATTGGATGGAAGTCGATTCCATTCACGCGTTGTTCTCGGAAAAAAGGAGTTTTTGAATGTGTCTGTTCTACAGCTAAAATCCTTTATCTTTTTCGTGTGGTGTGATTGCGTCGAGCGCTTACCAACCAGGTCGATAAAATTACTCTTGTCTATTGCCAGCTTATCATGATAAAGGGAGTACAAAAACTTGAGCCGTTCAAGCTGACGTCTCTTTTGCAATGTATCCAGCTCTGATTCTGCCAAGATTGAAGTTACAGATACTTGCCAGCGATAGCAATTATGAACAAACCTGATGCCCTATGCCTATGCTTGCTTACGTTCTTGGTGAAGCTGTGCTGCAAGTGCTTATTACTTTTACCATTTATTATTTGGAGGGGCCCATGGAACAAATGTGCAAAAGCGAATCAAATTGAGTGCCGCGTCAGGAGCTTTGACGCACCTTTTTGTGAATTTCTATGTAAACGCACCTAATTAAAAAAAAAGTTGTTAGTGTAGTTTGTAAACTGTCTCAGATGGCATAACTAAACATCAGAAAGCCTGCTTGTGCCTCTAACTTTGGATATGTTGATTTTGTAATTAAAAAAGTATTTTTCTGACGATTGACATGCAAAGCTGATACGAATATGAGTTATACAGCAGTGGGCAACTTTATATTGATTCTGTCTGCCATGGGTTAAACAAATGACAATAACAAGCGATTACATGCGACAACGAATTTTATAATTGACAAAAGGGAGTGGTGGGAACCTCAATCATGTGATGTTTCTGGGCAGTGAACGACACTGTGTGATCTCGCGAGTGTTGAGCGACCCAGCGGTCGCTGGTGCGGCGCAAAAGTTTTGAGTGAGCACTTCTTTAATAACCTATAAACAAAACATATGATCAATAATAGACTAATAATACAAGAGGTCAGTAAAAAGTCAGCGGAATTCCAATATTGTGTTTCCTGGTGTACGTGTTTTTTCCTAACATAACTTCGGTAAATTGAATCAAGGTACTGTAATGTTTGCAGTGCTTATTATATACTCAATGATGGGCAATATCATAGTTTTCGGCTGATTCTATAAAAAGTTAATAATTCGTATAGGTAAACTTAACTGGTTAAAAAATCTTTTCACTCTTTTTAATACACCTAAACGGTAGTATTTCTCCACCTTTTATACCAATAAATTCCTGGTGAAGGTCTACTACTGCGTACAATATATTTTGATCATGTAAGCTGAACTAATAACACACAAACAACTGAAATTAGCGTGAATTCTTTTTTAAAGTAGTGAATCGATGTAGGGCAATGAGTTTGATACAGACGTTTAGAACGCATACATGCACTCATATTAGTGAAAATGTTATTTTGATTAGATAAGCGGTGTCTGAGATATATACTGTAGAAATATACTGGACACTTCGGGGGACGTAGTGCTTTCAGGACAAGAAAGAGAGGGGCGAAAAAAACTGACGAGACTAGGCCGAGGAATGCGAAGCAAGATGTGGGGGTTGCTTAGCAGAACGAGTCGTGGGGCGCTCGACAGTTCTGTGGAAACCTCGGGAGGAGGCGGTGGTTAGCGAAGCTAAGCCATTCTGCAGCTCCGCTGAACAATGTAAAATGAAGGGAACACGGTAGTGAAAGAAATGAGAGTGCAACCTTCAAAAAAACTGTCCATATTTTCTGTGTTCGAGATGGGAAAGTGCTATGCTACTGCTGCATTTTTTTAGTCTAGCTGGCATGGCCCTGACTGCAGTTTTGTTGTTTTTATTTGGTGGGAGGTGGTAGTTACGTTTTCGTGACCGGAGAGGTAAAGGTTTTCAAATATTCGCCTTTATAACCACTCTGAGAATGAAACCCTTCTTTCTATCGCTTTCTGACGAAAAGTGCTGAGACGCTGTTTTGACAGGGATATTGCAACAACGCTGGCCGGCGAACAGAACAGAAGAAAAAGAATTTCCGCAGGCTTGTACGCGCGTCGTGATACCTCCACGTGCATTACGATCCGTGGCCTCCAGACGTTTGCACGGACCCCTAAGTTGAGTAAACAGGTCAGTCTTTTCATAATTCTGTGAGTATATGTGAAAATCCTGTTGGCTTAGGTGACGTGATCTCTGTACCTTGTATTGTTCATTTATTTTGTTACGTTGTACTGAACAGTTTTTTATTTTGTGCTTGAAGCTGTTCGTTTTGAAGAAATACATGCTCATGCAATAACTACTTTTAGAACTGTTCATTACGACAAGTATCAAAACAGAGCGGGAAGTGCAAGTTAAACTTATCTTAAACATAGTGCATGCCAACTTAACCCTAAAAGTGTTTTGCAAAGGAGATGAAGCGGCGCTTTCCTTAAAAAAAGGCCGCAATCATGCAAACTGTAAGAACCTACTTTGGTAGAAGTGTGACGATGAGCACGTACTAAATTGTGACAGTAATAATCAGCATTATTATTTGATAAAATTAGGAAATTGTCGAGGTGGGCCTTTGTGATGCCTACGAGAGTGTTGCAATTCGAATATTTTAGTCCAAAATTGCTTTTGATTGTTTCAGCAAAGATAGAGCTAATGTTTTAGAAATATATAGGAAACATTGGCCAGTTTTGAACTTTGTTCACGTTACGGAGGTGTCTTTCTAACATGTAGCGGCTGTTTGACACTGGAGTACATGGAATCTGCTTCTTGATATTGAACGCTCATCCTGTTTTTGTGTGTTTGTGTGTATGTGGTTGGTTTTATAGGTTGTTTGTTCTCATAGAT